CATGTTGGGCTATATATCTATGAAAAAAATCGGTATATCATTACGTGAGGTTCCAGAGATATGAAGAGGTTTTCCAAAGATCCGCTGAAAAACCTATCTTCGAAATTTTTTCGACCCCGATTTTCGCCTGTGAAAAGATTAGGAAAATAGTCCTCTTTCCGGAAAGGCGGTCAAACTTCCAAGCTTTAAGAATATGAGAGAGTTTTTGAAAATAATGTTTCCTGGCTGACATATTCTGTTTTTCGTAAATCATATGCGAAAAAGTCAGAATTCTGCCCGTACTTTTCTCTAGCAGAACTTGGTTTCTATGGGATTAAAACAGCATAGTCGGAATCAGGATCAAAAACTGAGTCGAATGATGTGTATTTAGAGATATTTAGTTGAGAACAATAGACACCGCTTTAAGCATTTTGAGACGTTTCGTACTTTATTCTAAGTACATCATCATTCAAATGACGTCATTTGATCATATTTTCAAAAACTCTCTCATATTTTTAAAGCTTGGAAGTTTGACCGCCTTTCCATATATAATTCAAAACGCTAGCCCTTCTCAGAAAAAAACAGTAGGGATTTTCAGGACAAGGTCTCAGTTTTCGACCTTTCCCTCGCTAAAATTCAAAATAACGGTTGAGGGATCGGAAATTAGTTGGTCTAAAATTAGTTTTCAACGCGAAACTCAAATCTGAAAACCACGAGTGTGTAGCACAAATCAAAAGAATGTTAAAGAGGTTTTTCTGAAAACGAAAATTTTTGCGCTTTTTTGGTCTTTTCCAGTATTTTTCATTCTTCTTCGGAGAAACGGCCTCTCAAAACAAGACTGAGATGTTATCGATTATGTGCCGCAAAATGGGTTATTACTACTGAAGAAGTGTAGCAGTAGGGTTCTGATATGGAAGTGTCAGAAAATCAAGTAAACATTTCTTATATTTCTACCACTTTGGAAAAATTTGAGGCAACGCCCATCCACTAACAAAATCCTGGCTACGCCACTAGTAATGGTGGGCCGACCTGAATGAAAGAACCCGGAAAAAATTACTTGTCATATTGTTCATGCAAATCCTAATCTATATTTTTATATTAATAAGTGAAACTTTGAAAGCAAATTACATTCTTTTCTTCAAAATCTCCTGCTCAGCTAAAATAACTCTAATAGTTAACATTTTCAATGTTCAAATCACAGCATGCCGTAACGTGGCGCCCTCTAGTGAATTTAGTTTATTATTTATAGCAAATTGCGTGTACGTAAAGATGATATCTGAGTGTGCTTAACTCGTCTTGTACAATTATTCGACATAATGGTGAATGATACTTATGGCGTCTCTTATGATTGCTTGTCCATGGAATATCTGACAGACATTTTTCCGTGTTTTCTATGCACACAGAGAACCATTTTGGAAGACTACAGCTCTCGGTACAGTACCGTTACTGCTGGAAAGTAAACACTTGTATATTATAAACAGTTGGTGGTATAATGCTTTTCTTTTAGCAAATGTTTGTCAAACGTCAGTCGATAGAAAGAAATTTGGTGATTAAAACAATCTTTTTTGATGATTAAAAAAAACACATACCCTTTTTTTATTGTCGTTCTGTTATGTTTCATTTTTTAGACGTGTATGAATTAGATGCGTCTTGTAAGTAACGTTTCTGCTATCAAAAGCTTTTGCAGGGCAGCTCCATACCGAGGTTAAAATGTAAAACTCCTCAAAATGTAGTCATGTTATTGTAGGTAGTTAGAACTTATATACAATATAGAATTATAGAAGCAATATCTTATCTACAATATTGAGCATGTGTCGAAACTTTAAAAGAAAATTGAACAATAGTTACTATAGTAAACCGAATAAAAAATGGCGCCGAAAATCTACAATCTTACAAGTTGCAGTTTGATATTTTTTTATCTTCGTAAACTTTAATATGAAATGGATAAAAAAGAATATAAGTTCAGTTGCAGATGCCTTAAGGGCTAAAAAGCATTTGCTGCTCTTCGTTGTAGAATCATACAACATTTGTATTACTGGTAACAGTCACAGTAATGTGCCACCGCTAATCATATGAGAGAAAAAGAGAAAATGTGTTTTTCAGTAATTAAAGAGGAACTATTCAAACACACGACCTGAAATATCTACTGACGCAGAGAGAGGAAAAAACTAAGCACATTTTTCCTGTACATTTTTTCGAGCAACAAGTCTCGCCAGAAATCAGTCAACTTTGATAACACAACAAAGATCATCTACGGGTAATAAAACTTACAGAAAAGTACCAAGCTGAAAAGTATTAGAAATATGTCTCACTGTCAGAAGTATTCTTGACGTTGCCAGCAATGCTCTGCATCTGCTACGTGTACCCTTTTATTTACAATGACCTACTTATAGAAAGGTGTGTTATAAGAGACAAAAACTATTTTCCTGCCGTACTGAATATCCCGAGTGATGCATCGGTTATTTATCGACACATGTGTTTTTTTTCGAAATGGTAGTATTTAATGCTGGTGCAGTTTTGTATGCAATCCTTGACGCTTGCGAACGGAATTTAATGTTGAAATCAATATGTGAGTGCTTTTAAGAGATATGCGCATCTGGAAAAACTTTATATTGTGTTATCTAGATTGTTTACTATGAAAACAGATAAAATAGTGTTTTCTCATTTTACGCTTCATCATAAGTACCATCTTTTCGCTTTAGAATATCATAATTTCACATAAGCGAACTTATTTTGTGAAAAATAATACAATTACTAATTGCGGCAATATAACTTATTTTTGATGAGTTTATTATTGACTCACTTTTATGGTCGATTATCAGAAAAAGAAAGAATCCACCCTAAAAATAAAGCAATAAATAGATTGTATTGAGACAAAGTTGAACCCACAACTATAAAAAGACAAGCACCATATTTTTATGGCACTTGAAACTGCATATTATGTGATTAGAAAAGTAACGACACAATTACCATTTTCATCGTCTGTAATTGCTCGCTGATTCGCTTGTCGAATAAAAACGCAGTTATCAACAAAACATCAGAAAGAATCAAAGTGGTTCTGGTTGATGAAAAGCGACATCATTACCTTTATTACACCCAACAGTCTTCTAACTACCATTATTGATGTCAGAGCAGATTCGCCCAGTCGATGGTTACTGTAGCTCATACTGGATGTCTAATCCAGACAAGCTCGCTCATCACCGATCGACAAACGATTTACCACTTCACTCTGACATTGTCATTATTGGATCAGGATATGCTGGATCATCATGTGCCTACTATATCTACAAAGATCAGCCACAGAATCAAACGCCACCAATTGTCACTATGCTCGAAGCTCGTGAAACATGTTCGGGTGCGTCGGGACGCAACGGTGGCCACTTGAAGCCAGATGTGTACGCTTCTTATTCGCGCTACTCAGACATGTACGGTCGTAAAAATGCAGAGACACTAATGCAGTTTGAAGCGAATCACATTGAGGCAATGTCCGAACTTGTGTCTGAGGAAAACATCCAATGTGACTGGCAGATTACACGCGCTTGCGATTTGTACGCTGATTCGCAACAAGCTGCTCAAGCAAAAGCATCGTACTTACAACGTTGCGCAGATGGTGGTGATGTTTCTGATATCTGTGAAATACCCTCTCACGAGCTTCTATCCATCGTGAGAGTGAAAAACATGCTCTACGGCATTACGTTCACAGCTGCCAGCATCCACCCGTACAAACTTGTTCATCATCTGCTCCATAAGTGCGTTGAACGTGGCATGAATCTACAAGGATGTTATCTAGTTAAGATGTCTAGATAAATCGATCTTTCTGTTCTGAATTATCACCCGTTTGCTCAATTTGGTAAAACTTTTGATTTTGTTAATATTATTGATAGTTCTAGTCCCCATTTCATCTTTCGATACTTCTCTTCCCCTCTTGTTTTTCGCTAAAATCTGTTATACATACTGAAAACATCGTGTATACTACTTCCACTATGGACATCTTGCACAACTCGACTGAAGCAGTCAATAAATAAAAAAGACACATACGCTGATGGTTCCGTGTTCGAAACGTGGTGACGTAAGTCATTTGATACATGCGATGTCTCCTGCCGGCTCGGAAACCATTGACACCAAGTTCGGAAAAACTCAAAAGAATTATCTGAGTGTTCCGTGTCGAACGACTCCTATTTACCTCTGTCCAAAATCTGCACTTCCTTGATGTATGATCTAGAACGAACACTCCTGTCCTGTCTGCAACTCGCCAGCCTTCCGGCGAATGGCTGATTCTGACTCCTAGGGGTGCACTGCAAGCATCAAAGGTCATCTTTGCTACGAATGCGTATACGGCTGGTCTTCTACCGTCGTTACACTCAAAGATTGTGCCAATTCGTGGTACTGCATGTCGAATTCTTCCATCGCCCGCCTACATATTCTCTCCATTGAAGATGACGTATTCACTCCGATGGAGAGCGAGTGAGTTTGACTACATGATTGCTCGTCAAACGGGCGACCGATCCATCATCCTTGGTGGAGCAAAGAAAACCTATCTCCCTGACACGAAAACGTGGTACAACAACTGGGATGATAGCACTGAATTGATAAAAAACGAGAGTCGACAGTATTTCGAAGACTTTATGCCAAGGCATTTTGAAGGGTGGGGAACTGACGATGGTGGATGTAAGGAGGTATGGACCGGGATACTTGGATACTCTTCCGATTTTCTCCCCTTTGTTGGAGAACTACCTCAGCAACCGAATGGGTATGTGATCGCGGGATTTCATGGACATGGCATGCCGCGCGTTTTACTTTGCGCGCGAGCACTAGTTGATCTTGTGCTGGAAAGGACAAGCAGAATCGAGGAACAGATCCCAGAGCCATATGTAATAAGTAAGGCGAGGCTGGATGCGAAGCACAACTGGATTCTAGGTGATATGATCGGACATCTTGAAAGGATAGACAAAGTAGAACAGACTGACCCTCTTTGATCTTCTAGATCGTTTCGAAGTTATTGAGAGATTCTAGACGGAAAAGGATCAATCAGGGGTATTTCTAAAATACGCTAACATCTACTAACAGCCGTCAACAGTCACTAACCCTCAAAACAACATACGCTACACACGACTCGACTCTCAGTATGAGATTATGTTTGTGTTTACTAAATTGTAAAGTTAGAGAGGTACTGACATCTTTTTGAGTGTTAGTGCCTGCTGGCGGTTGTTACTGGGTGTTAGTGACTATACTTCGGGGTTTTAGCAGCTGTTATTCAGTATTACCTTTTTTGATTCAAGACTAAAATGGATGGTAGTACGTCCTAGCATACTTTACAAGTACCTATTATCATTCTGGCATATGTGAATACTGAAATTTTAACGTTTTTCTAACTCGTCATTACTTTCATATGCCACCATCTGTTTTCAATAAAACCGTTTATTGAATCTTCTTGTTTTAAGCAAAAGCAAATCATAATTGGATTGGACTTTGAAAAACTGCGCAGTCTAGTCAAAAAAATTCAATACTGGCGGTTCGGGAATTTTCTTATTTCATGTGCCGTCGACCTTTAGAACTGGACACAATTGGCGGAAAACTTTTAAAGGCACATTCTGTTTCAAAAAAAGTTATGCCGAAATAGTAACTTAATTAGGTGCTTAAAATTCATTGATTAGTGTTCGGTGTGGCCCTTCTTTTCATCCCTACATTCTTTTTTACCATAGTGCACAGTACACTTCATATAGCCTGTGAACGACTTCAAACAGAATGCAAGTTTAATAAAATATAATATATAAATAATATAAGATAATATGAACACCGTTCGCATGAAAAAAGTGCACGTCCACCAGTGCTTTAGCGTTCATGTTCCAAGAACGAAACGTGAACTGCAGGCCTACAAGAAACCACGTAAAGTGGTAAGGAAGCATTTCAAAATTCTTTACTCTCTTACCTCCTGCTTTACTTCTGTTGTACTTTACTTCTTTACTTGAGAGAGAGAGAGAGAGAGAGAGAGAGAGAGAGATAAGGATAGAACAGAAAGAAGCAAAGCACAAAAGAACACTACACAGTTGATAGAATCGAACACTTGAACTTTGAATTCAAATGCAAAGAATTTACTTTTGGACTAAA